GTCGGGGGATAGCACTTCGCGCTGGTGCGGGCAAGTAGTTCTGCCAGATGGCCTGTTTTTTTAGCCAGTCATGATCCTCATCCTCGTTGACGCCAGCCTCTTTAGCGAGCTTTGGGGTAGCAGCATGGCCACGGCAGTACCCCGCAGGACTGTAGTACGCCTCTGCGATGAGTCCCTCAATGCTTCCGTCCATAGAAACGATTATTTTTCCTCCATTACGTCGAGATTCGCTTTGGGAAAGAAACCTAGAAAAAACAATACCACATACACCACAGCACCCTGCAAGTCTGGGTTGCCGTCATGATTTACAACTATAACACTTATAACTGGTTGCAGTCTTTTGCAACGTATACAAAACGCGACCGTCATTTTCACTTGACTGTATTGTGTTCACCAAGCTTTTCTCATTTTATCAATTTTATTCGCGGCTTTGATTGCCAAATCACTTGGATTAATACCAAATGGAAGCGCACTATTCAAACCTCTTATTCTTCCTCCCTTTTTAAACCACAAGTTCACTTTTAGAAAGGAACTATGAGACGCCTCTGTAACAGACTCGGCAGCACCCCGTGAGCCTACATTGAATTTTTTTATATTCGATTTTTCCTTTAACAACAGGTTGTCGTTTCTTACAGTACAAACAGTAAGCGATGGCCATCTCTATATAATGCACAAAAATTTACTCTGATGTGAAAAATGCATCGCGATGTTAATTATTAGCGCGTTCTTAGAGTTTCTCTAGCAAACCGTTTTACAATACGCTCGTTATGCACAGAAAGGACACACATTGTGAACCCGATCGTGTAAGGAGAGAAAGCAGTACCACCCACACATAATGGAGTGCCGATCCTGTATCTCGTTGCAAGAATAGCGAACAACAAGTTTTGACCGTTCCATCCACTTTTTAACTACGGCAAGTGGTGGAAGGCCGAAGCTGTCAAAGTAATCTACACAGAACTCATCAGCAAAGGTGCATACCCAGTGAGTCCTACCTCCATCTAGAAATTCTTGTAAGTTGATTATAACGCTTTCTTCAGCTTTAAGAGGTTCTTTAGGAAGCATGTCTTTTGAGAACACACCCTAAAACCTTTAGCTACTGCTTTTAGATTACCATTTACTACACGATGGATATCTTTGTTTGATAGCGGCTTCCACTTCCTTACCCCGTCACCATGTCGCGGGGAGGTTTACTCTTTTCCCCGACATTCCAAATCCAAGGATTTTTCCTAGGAAAGGGGCAACGATGGGAGTAGCTATACCTGCAAGCAAAGAACCAAGGAATCCACCTTTTTGCGCACGCGTCATGGCTGTAATCTGACTCTTAGACAATTTTAGATCGATTCCAGATCCTTTGGGTCTTGCACCCATCATTCGCTTGATTTGTGTATTAGTAAGCATAAGCATATCAGGACCTTCAAAAGCACTGTTGGTGATTCGCAAAGTTACTCTACTTTTGTCTCTAACAGCTTTTGCCAAGGTAGTTTTCTGAACTTTTGAAAATTTAACACCGTGAACTGTGTATCAAGAAAGACATTTCTTACTAGAGCTACTACCGAAACCACGAAGACTGTTATTATACTTGGGTCCATTAAATGGTGTGATAACTCTTGTTCTAACTATACCACTACTAGCTACTGCTTTTTGCGTGCTGCCGGTGATAGCACCTGATATAGCTGCTAGGCCTATATAGAGACGGTAACACTTTTGGTATTAGTTTAGTGATCGTAGGTATGAGATTTCGAACAAAATTTCCAATAAAGCTACCACCTTCTATATTTCTTGACCCAGAAAGATATATACCAATGCCTTTAAACTCCTGAGTGATTATTCGCTCCATGGCGGGTCTGAGAACTGTAACGAATATTGCGTTATCAATATCCGACATTTTTGTGCACATGCAAAACAATTTGCGTATATAACAGTCGAAAAAATTTTTGTTTTTTTTAATTTATAATTAATTCTTGTGCGAAGTAGTCGTATTAAACGTAACATAGCATATGAGACTAACAGACTAAACCATTATGTCCATCTTAACGTGAATCGCATTGAGCCAAAGGAAACGATCGCTAAGCACGAAGCAGTACACGTGGTACGCCTGTTCACCACTAGCATTAATAGCACTATTAAAAGGGTCACTCAAGATCCAACGAACATCAATGTTTGCCGGAGTTTTTTTCAAAGCTTCAGGATGAAGACTAACGTCAAAATGGTAAATAGGAAAGAGGTTTGCGAAGTCTCCTAAGTTTACTTCAGAGTCTGTATCCGGATCGCTGTATTTCATCGCAGCGTCTTGGAACATCATATAAGCTGTGCTGTAATTTCTTCAGCATCTGTGTAATTGACTTCAAGCTCTTCTTCAGGATACTTTTGATTGTTATTAATCCGCACATGAATCTGACGCAAATTAGCATTATCAAACACATGTATACTTTGTTCTTGATTGTCTGAGCGCTCTGCATCTTGGAATGCTCTTCACTTCCGTTTGTCGTCACGCGCCATGAGACGGTTGTTTGACCTCTGGCGAATCTCTCTCGGTAAATGCGACCTTCATCAAAGTATAGCATGCGTATGTAACCAGCAACCAACTTGCTTTCTATCATGGTTTCAACTTCGATCGACGGTCTGATGAAAGGAACCCAGAGCGAAAGATGTTTTATCTGAAACTTTCCAGCATCTACCCCATTTGCTCCATGAAGCCAGTTTTCAGCAGAAGCGCAAGTGAGATTCAGATTGAACTTTATACCTATGAGAGCTTAATCAATGTTTTTTGCGAAACCTTGGATGTCAGCGAGGGGAAGCATCATGGCAACGTCTTTGGCGCCCGCGCAGATCTGGCGGCCACTGGCGAAACCAATTTGAAGTTAGGGTTCTTTTTTGCGTTGAGGTTTAAGTTGAAGTTAGCCCGGAAGTTGCCGCCATTCAAAGCGACACCGTTACCTACATTAGCAGCAGGAAGCAACTGAGCGTTAGTTCTGTTTACATGCTTATAAGAAACAGCCCCACCGGTATCTCCAGTGTCGCGGTAACAGAAGGCACTCGTGGCGGTGCTCCTGGACGAATCATCCGAATCAGTTACAAGTTGTATGATCGTGTTGATTGTGAAGCATATTGACTTATTTCTTTAATGGTCTTGTTGTAAACCTGGATCTGGACCGTCTGAAACAGGCTCCATCATAGTTGGTGCCATCGTTCTTTACCAGGTGACCTCGAACTTAAAGAACGGCACTGTGAGGCCATATAAGCTGGTCAACGTCCTCAGTGTCGATATTGATATTCTTATTATCGAAATTTGGATCGCGGGGAAGAACTCTTTGGTACTACAGACGCTCAACAGAGCGTTCAACGATGGGCTCGTCAAAGAGTCGAAGTGGTGGGAATATCATGTCCGTAGCCATTGTTATGATAGTTAGTACTTGGTACAGTATATATATTACAAAAAATTGGCGTAAGCCGATCATCAGACTGATATAATTTAATTATTATTTCTGATATTTAGTCTGATGTGATATTAAGGCATACATCATGACGTTACCTGACACGAGGTTGCTTAGAATACCTAAGTCTCGAGATGTCAGATGTTGCTTAGCAAGGATTTTAGCACGCGATACTAGAGTTTTTCTAGCTTCATTAGTTCCAACCAGCTCACCAATATTAGATCTAGCTTCTTTGTTAAAGAAGTGCGAGCGGTTCTCGCGCGCATTTTTGCGCTACTAATACCAGCTTCAGCCTCAGCACGAGCCACTGCAGATGCACGTGATTTAGCTTTTCTTGCCACTCCTTTAACGTATCTGCGGCGAGATCGGCGACTTGTCGGCGACTGCTTATGTTTTCAGGCGAGAACTGCTCTTTTGCAGTCGTTATAACAGCCTCTTTGGCTGCTGTAGCCGTGTCACGAATTGCTTTTTTACCAGCCGCCACGGCCACATTCTTTATTTTTTGAGCAAACATACCTACGCGAGATCCTAAGGCTGCAGCTACGGACCCCGCACTTAATAGGGCACCCTATGCCTTACCAGCAAGGCCTACAAAGTTTCCAATCAATGACCCACCAACAATTTTTCGACAAACTATACCACGTCTAATCATAGGAACTATCATTTTGCCTGGTATATTATCTATGAAAAGTAAGCCATTATGGCAACAGCTTCTGAATCGGAATCCGCTTATGAGAGTTTATAATCACATTTTTAGACGGATGTTTAAAGTGTAAGTTACTTGCTCACCATTTAAATCAATCTTTTTACCTAAATCATCAGTGATTTCCGTTCTCACTTTATTAATAAAGTTTTAAGAAGTAAGTAGGTCGGTTGACTAGGACTTATTTCCAACAAACGTCCTGGTAAACGATTTAATAACATCACTAGGATTCCCGTTTACTATATTTGAATTAACAAGCGAGTAGTGAATATGGATCTTCTGTACATCTGTAAAGTTAATTCGATTCTGACTTATGTCTTTCCTCTAGTAATATCACCTCCACCCAAAGCAAAACCCAAGAATAGGGCCTAAGCTGTTATCTGTGTCAAAGGAAACTTCAAGGTCACCTTTAATAGCAATCTCAGATTTAGATGTGGGAATATTTACTGAGAGCACAAAGGGTGGATCACGTCTTGCGGTTTCATATTCATGTGCAAACTTTATACCCAATGCTTCCATAGCATTTTCAGAAGCTTGATTGATATCGGGAATGTTGTAAGCGCATGGGGGTATTAGGATTTTTTGTCTTTGAATTGGAGTCTGTTTGAGCTCTCCTCTCTGTTCACCATCAGTGTCACCATAGTTTCCATTTCTAATTAGAGCCATAGAAATAGACCAAAAAAATTGTAAAATTAAATTTATTGTGACGTTTCGTCTTTACTCAAGACATCTTCAGATAAATAATAAATGGGATGTGAACACAAGGTATTATATTTACAAAAAGGTGTTAAATTACTACTAAAGGAAGCGGTGTCGAATGATTTAATGAAAGAAATATTAAAGGAAGCGGAAGGAATGATTTAATGAAAGAAATACTAAAGGAAATACCAAAGAATGATTTAATGAAAGAAATACTAAAGGAAGTGGTGTCAAATGGATACATGATAAGGAAGTTAAGAAGTGAAATAAACAGAAATTAAAAAAGGTTAAGTGGAATGGAGTTTCCTTGCACATTAAGTGAAGGCTTGTGTTTATTGATTGGAAGGCTTTCCATTCATGAGTAATCGGTGGAACTGATGATGGTTATGGATCTGGAAAACCAGGACCACCAGGGCCTAGAGGCCCAAGAGGAGGTAAGGGAGATAAATGTGACACAGAAGCTGCGGGGGCTCAAGGAGATACGGGTCCTGGAGGACCAAAGGGAGAAAAAGGTGATACAGGAGTTACAGGGGCTCAAGGAGATACGGGTCTTAGAGGATTAAAAGGAGAGAATTGTTATGAGGGTCCTAGTGGACATGACAGAAATGATGGGACCAATGGAAGCGATGGTGCGCCTGGAGCCACAGGAGCTCAAGGGCCTCGAGGACCTCAAGGACATCAGGGACCTCAAAGACCTCAAGGCAACAAAGCATTAGAGGTCTAACAGGTCCTAGAGTAGTGCCGGGGTCTACAGAAGCCGCAGGACCTCGAGACCCTCAAGGGCCTAAAGGAGATATTGGAGCCACAGGGCCCCGGGGGCCTTCAGGACGTTAATGACTTCAAGGAAAACCAGGAGCTAATGGGGTTAAAGGAGACCAGCCTGTTTTGAACTCTCCTACTGGATTTAACCCTACTTGTATGAGCGGAGTAAATGTAACTTTAGTAACGTTTCCTACTGGAAAAACACTTGAAATAGTAAAATAGCAATATTAAATATTTGGTTTGAACGATCTTGAAACGAGTGGTTTAATATCAAGTACTATTCTTAATAGACTAACAAAAATTTTTATAACATATGTAGAATTACAATGTCTAATGCATCTGAGACTTCGGTTCATGAATTTGAATCAACAAACGATGTCTTTCGCCGAGCAGTAGAAGTATAATTACGACGAAATAGCGAGAAAAATTTTGAAAATTCCAACTAGAATATAAATCTAATGCTGAAAAAATAGTCATATCTTCTTGGAACTATTCAGACGTAGATAAACCGAGGCGTGAGGCTCTCGAAGCTTTGCTACGTCCGGCAAAAAGACACCACGCCCGAGGTGTAAAACATCATAGAAGACGTGAAAAAACATAAAAAAGCGACTGCAATTTCTAGTAGATGTATACACCCAAGTTGGTACTTCAGTCACTGGAAAAAGAGGTCCAGTTTAGACCAATGTCACGATGTGTGAAAAAGGTAAAGAAGATTCTTCTACAATCACCATCGAAACCGCTGGATTCTACCGAATATCATTAAGTGGAAAATGTTTTACAAGTGCAGGAGCGCTACAAGTACTTCAAACTTCTAGCAAATTACTTGTCTTAAGTAAAAAAAAAAACACATCGTATTGGTGATATTAACCATGAATGTAGCTATAGCAATATTATAGATGTAGACTTACCTGCTGATGCAACATTAGTTGTTCAATATATTGCAACTGCTAAAGTAACTATCACACTCACTATAGAAAGTATAATACCCAAATCTTCAACGGTTATTTGATGAATATTTGTTACACGAAGCGCTACATGGTTCCGAAGACTGGCCTTCGCTTTTTTGCTAATTATCTAGAACCGAATATAAACATCTCACGGCCGGCGAGGGGGGTGAAGAGGCCGCCGGAGGCGTCGGAGTTTTAGTTTTTGAGGAATTGTAGTTAGAAAGTCAGGTGCGTTATAGCGTATAACGCTGGGTCGCTCATATTTCCATACGCAGCTTCCCAATCTACAGAGTTTGTTATACTAGGCGGTCTAATTCTATTACGTCATTGGGCTTAATATGTCTGCGCTTACATGGTAAAGAAGCTGTATTAGTACGCTTTCTTGATGTAGATGCTAGTGATTGAAAAGCTTGAAGGAATGAGTTTAGAGCTCTTCCACTTATAACACCCTGTTTATATAGTTGCAGAATCTCTCTTACAGTGTCCAACTCGATTCTATGTATAAATATTATTCTTCTAATTGTATCGAACCTGTCTGTATTTCAGCCTGGTTTGCAATTTAAGATGCTTTTCTCTTTGTCTTATTATTATATTATTCAGTTTTTTCTCCCTTTCTCTTCTTTCTTTTTGCTCTTGTCTTTTCATACGTACTATTTTAGATTCACTATTCATCTTACCGCGTACCCTACTATACGCCAATCTTTAACTAACAGACCCTCGACGGCCAGCTGCGCGGGCGCGGGGGCTAGACCAGCCGTCTTTGGCTCTTGCCGTTGTCCAGGGTTTGACCTTCGCTGTATTTATGCTAGCGTAATTACACTATGTGCATACTATATATGTCTTTCAGACGGACATAGTAATTACGTACACGAACTAGGGTTGGGGCGCTTAGATTTGCATATACTGGGTCCCAAGGTGTGAAGTGCGCCAGTGGCAACACTTTTTATACTACTGAGTTTTAGTTTAGCGTTTACAGCAAACGGCAAATCTGAGCTATCCATTTGACATTGAGGATTGTTTCTTCAAAAAAGTCGAATCTGATACGTAGTTTTGCATTTGTATTTTAAGATTTGCATTGTCATGAGCTGTATTTCCTGTTTTATTAAAACTCTGTTGATAGCTTAATAGGCATATTTATGATTTATACTCACTTGAAATATTTACTATGCTTCACAAAAGTTACTTTGTTGTAATATAATTAATAACAAGGTTGCGGTACTTTACCTACAACAAAAAAGGCATCCTGTTCTTAAAACCTGAACTGCTAACCGCAACGTAAACGGCAAAGATGTCATCACAACTCGACGAAAATTTGAGTTCGTATGATTTTTAATTTTTCTTAGCCAAAATAATTCGCTATAAAATTTTTAGTGGTTTTTGATTTACGAAACAAACGATGCTCATGGGAGCATATTATAAGTCGTGAATACTAAGCTCTCACAAATAGATGAAATTCTCCTTTCATTACCGTTACAACATACAAACGACGTACAAAACCATTGTTGTTTTGCTTTGTTGTTATGTTCGTCTTTGCAGCAATGAGAATCATAAGTATCTAGTTAATATTTGATTCAGCCATTTTGCATTGATTTTTCCGTTTTGTGAGTTAATTTTACACGTAGAAAACAAATGTACCCAGTCACACGAAATTTTTTAACTCGAAAATTATTGCTTCGGGCCCAAATATTTGCAAGTGGAAAACCGGCTTGATTAGTACGAAAAAAGTGTATAAGTATAGAGCAAATGGTCTACAACTAGTTTTGTACAATTAGTTTTTCATTTGTTGCTGTGTTGCGTTATGTGAGCTGCTCTGAAAACTTAATGTTCAACCTGTTGATTAAATAACGGAGTTGAACAAAATAACGTCCATTTTCCTACCCATTTGATATAATTAACATAATTGATGTGATTTAAGTCTGGTCTAAAATATTTCAAAAAACCATTTACTGAATGAGCTTCATTATTTTGAGAGATGTTAATTAGAGCTAAGCTGAGCTAAACCAAAGTCAAATGCATAATATTAATGTACACGAAAGTGCATTATGTAGCTTTTGTGACCGTTTCTTGTTTATTCATTTGTTTTTAATGTAAATAGATCCTATAAGATTCATAAAGTAAGAGCAAAATGCTAATGCCTTTTCCTCCAGTAATAATATACAAGAAAAAACTTCTCAATTCTGATTGGTTAAGAGCATGGCAGTCTTTGAAAAACTCACTCGTACATGTTTGTGCAAAATTGCTCTCAAGACCACTCAAAACAACACTTATTGCTATGACTATCAAATGTGTCTACTAAAATTCCTGTATATCTTAATGGAAGATAGTCATTTAGACATAGAAGTAGATTATTGCATGAGGTATATACAATCCTAAAGTTTCGCATGCCACTTTGTACCTAGAGCTGTGGCTAACGCCAGCAGTAGCGTAGCCAGCCCGATTTTTCTCAAGCTATGCTAATATTTTTATGTTCACTGACTGAGAACAGTAGATTTCTAAAGGAATGAATAATGGTAATCTTTTAGAATTTTCAGTGAGAGTAAGTCTGCAAGCTGGCTACGATACTGAACGCAAATGCTAGCGTCTTGTTTTAATTCAAAGTAATGTAACGATTTTATACATTTTTAAGCATACAAATGGAAAAGTGTCTGGAATACATACCATGGAATAGTTTTAACTGGTTTGGAAGAATAATTTTGATTTTCTTTGGTATATTTGGCTTTCTCGTTTGTGGCATTTCATTAAATTTATATGGTGATAGTTCATTTAATTGTCATAATGAGATTATATCAAAGACGAAAGAAAGTTCTCTTTTAAAGAGCATCGAATCAAGATGTTTCAGACAATACAAAGATGATTTAACTTTTAAGTATGCTGTTTTTCTTATGGTAATTTGTAATATTGCTATTGTCTTACTTTGGAGTATCGTCTATGGATATTATGTAAAGCGTCGAATTGAACATAATGATAATAACAGTCCAATAGAAAACAGAGACGAACAAAGTGAACCTCTACTTGTGGAATATAGCGAAGGAACTCGTCAATCTGACAACGTTGCACTTAATTTTTCTTCATTTTACATTTACATCGTTCATTTGATGGTTCGCCTCATCATATTGTCTGTCTTTGTTGGATTATTTTTCTTTGCCACATTTCCCGTCGAATACACCTGTAAAAGACGTCCAACTATCAAAGAAATTTCCATGTTAAATCACACCATTTCAACCGTTGATTGTGAAAACCCCAACAGTGATAAAAGTGAAATCTTAATTAAAGCTGTTTTATCTGTCGATTTTATAGTAATAACACTAACAATTTTAGAGCTGTGTTACTTGACGTATAAGGCTTGGTCGATAAATCTTTTAAAAAGAGGAAAAATTTTCGACTGTTTACTTGAATTTTGTACCGCTCCAAAAGATGACTGTGCAAATCCTTTGAAAGGAAAAAAGAAGAATTTGGAAAACATTTGGAAGAAATTAAAAACAATTTCAAAACGGACGAATTATTTGAAATACATGACGACTTTGGCAATGAGATGAAAGAGTGGCGAAATCTTGACAATATTTACATCAACGTCATAATACAAGCAGAAAGACAATTCGAGAATGCTTATCCAAAAAAATTTAAAAGGCACGAAATCTTTGATTGCTATCTTACAATAAGAGAAGATAGAAAAAAATTAACAAGGGCAAGAGAAATTTTTGCACCAATCCACGGGGAGCGGGACTAATCTTATCCCCTACCATTTTAGTTATTGGAAGGCCAGGAATTGATAAAACTATGTTAACAAAAAAATTTTACATGAATTGATGAAAAATTCAGATAAATTTTTTTTGATAAACTTGTTCTTTTAATGCAATGTCCTGCTTTTAAAAATGGCAACATTACTCTCAATGATATGTTAAGTGATTGTGATGGATTTTCAGATAAAGAATTTCCTAAAATTTACGACTTCGTAATCAAGTATCCTGAAAAAACCGTTCTTGTCTTTGATGGTCTTGATGAACTATCCTTGAATGAAGAATGCCTTAATATTGATGTTTCAATCCTCTATAATGCGAAAATTCCAGCATTTACAATATTAAGTTGGTTTGTAAAACGTAAACTGTTGCTTGGTGTCACTTTTGTTATAACATTGCGACCCACAGCTGAATATGGATTTGATGAACTAAAATTCGATCAAACAGTGTAGATCTTTGGTTTTTTTGAAGAACAGATCAAATAATATATATAAAAAATTTGTGGTGCTGATTCGAATACCAATGAGCTGATTTTGAATTGTATTGATAATTTAAGTGAGCTTCGTAGCCTGTGCTACATCCCTGTCATCACTTATATTGTCTGTTTGACCCTAAAGGAATGCTTTATAAATAATTATGACGATATTCCAAAGACAATCACTGAATTGTACAGCAGAGAAATTAAAACCTTACTATCCTTCTCTCAAGAAAAAAAAACGCCGAAAAATCATTTGACTATCCCATTACCATCCTCACGAGATAAGGATATAAAAAAAATAGAAGAAACAGCAAAGAAAGGAATTGAGGAAGGAATTTTGATTTTTGAAGAAGATAATAATACAGAATTTCATAATTTGGCAAACTGTGGTGTTTTCTATCAGATACCACATAAACGACGCTTTTTTTATTGTTTTCTTCATTTGACTCTTCAGGAATTTTTAGCTGCGTGTTATATTGTTGACGATTGGCTAAACCTTGGTAAATTTTTGGATGATCACGTTGCAGATCCTAAATGGCATTTGGTGATTGAATTCATTGCTGGTTTAGTTGGAGATATGAAAAAAAGAGGAGAAGTAAAGGATATTAACGTTGTTGAACAAAGGTAAAATATTTATATGTATTAATAAAAAATCGCTGCACGTTTTATGTGGTTATGTGAAATTTTTTATCAAGTCTAAGAGAACTCATTTTGAAATATTATTTATTATCTTTCTACTACAATTTTCATAATTTGGTGTTCAAAGCAACAATCTAATGATTCTTTGACACATGACATCTCATTAACCTACTTTTATCTAAAATCTGGATGTTTGTAATGAGGTTTAATTTTAAATGTTTTAAAATTAACCACACCAGGTGGTATTTGGTTTTGCTATTTACCATAAAAGTAAGAGCATGCTTTCTTTCTTGTTTGTTTTCCTCAAACATGAATGATAAGTTTTCAGGTTAATCTGTTGTAGCAAAAGGATTGTTGTTCAAACTTTTCCAATGCAATATGCTTCACTAATAAAGTAGGGTTTTGTCACATAAATTCAGAATTTATTCACGTTATTTGCGAACTATCCATTAATTATCAAATATATTCTAGCATTCAACCTTATGTATAATGAACTTGCATGCTGGACAGCTGATATAAGAAAGTGGAGGAGAAATACTCCTCTTACTGTTTTATTAGTAAAATGTGTAACTTTCAATTTAATTTAAAGTATGTACCAACCTCAGTCGTCATTTAGAAAAGAGAAGACCATCTTAAAAAAATAATTTCAAAATATAAACGCCAATAAAAATAGATTTTTATATTTTAACACATTGCACTATGTCCAGTCAAAGTTCATATATAGCTCTACATAGTACTCTATATTATTCTATACTATATGAACTATCACTACATATTGGGTATTTGGAGAGTAAGGATTACGTGGTAGTGGTAAGTGTTATAATTTCATGAAATTGTGTATAAAGCCACATTTCATTTTTACAAAACACCTTTTCGTTTTGAAAAAGGTATTCATAATATAGGCTATCCATATCGGCTTACTGTATATTTTATTTGTAAATTGAGTGTTGGATATCACTTGTTTATTATTCCAGTATGTTTTTACATATATTCAAATAAGCTGCTAAGGTCAGCAGAACAGCGTAAACCTGCATAAATAATGTGTCTTACTTTATCAATTTCATATGTTAAGGTGTCTGTTTTATGACGTCATAAGTCTGACGTCTTGAAATTTGCCTATGGTATTGAAAATCCTAGATCTGTCCCTGTATGAGAAGTCCTAAGAAATCCAACTTTCGGAACATGCTAATATTTAGGATTTTCTGTTCCGATGTAAAAAAATAAAATACCAGCATGCTTAAAAAAATGGTGAAATTGCCTTGTTACGTTTATTGAAACAAATCAAATTAAGAGAAACGATGATGTATTGTGAAAGCAGTATGTTTGAATTTATGATATATGTGAAATATATAGATTAATTTGTTTTTAATGTTAAAATATTGGATAAGAAATGATGTGTTTTTGTCACACAAGTGTCTCAGTTAATAGTGTTGCAACATGCACTATGACGCAGAAGCAGTGGCGTAGCTAGCGAAAAAATTTGGTCGGCTCACGAGTCGCCACCATGGTTGGCGCCGAGGGAGAAAATTTTCCGAATTTAGACTCCCTAGAACGTCGGAAACGGCTATCTTAGAAAGCAAATGCGTGATATTTATGCAGGAAATAGAACCATTTTGGTTAATTTAAATTGCCGAAGGATCTTATAGTAAAGCAGAGAAACAGTTCAAAAATAGTTGCAGATATGTGATTAATTTTCTCAACACTACTTACATAGATAGATACCTATGTACATCTTGTAAAGAAACTTTGACAAAAGAACCAAAAAAGGGTCAGATTTGTCATCAACAACTATCAAAAGTTGTAATGCCGTTCATTGTCGTGCTGAAATGACAATCATCATTGCCTGCATTAAAAAGTTCCCGGAAAAATTCTCACATGCCATGGACGTAATACATCATCAGCTTGCTATCAGCCATATATGAATACCTATTTGTATAAGGAAGCAAGTCTTCGTGGTTTTTCAATGAACTTCTTTACTATCTCATTATGCAATATGTTGGCGTCTTCTTTCTCTGACAGTATGTCTTTGTGAATGGAAATCCTGAAAAGAGAGCTAAAATGTCCTTGGCTCATAGTATTTCTAAGATAATTTTTTACCCTCTTCAAACAAGAAAATGACCTCTCAACTGAAGCACTTGTAATTGACAAAACCCCATTTATCTTTAACAGTTTTACAACTCCTGGAATACTAGATTGATAATGGAACTGAAAAATATATTTCAATAATTCATCGCATGAATCATAGTGAAAGTCTTTATCTCTGTAAATAAAACAAAGTTGGCTAACTAGCATTGGTATGTCAAACATATCACCATAAACCTCCTTTAGAAGATTTATCTTTTCTGAGGGCACTTCACCTTTCCACATCTTAAACAACCTAGGGTTAACAAGGTCAAAAATCTAAAACGCTCCATATCCTGAAATCGCTCAGTCAGCATAGTCACAATTGTGTCAAGAATTTCAAAATAAATTTGTTTGTAATTATGCCGTTGGTCATACCTGGTTACTGGTGGTCCCACTTTCTCAACAGCTAGGTCGCACACCTGACAATATTCTGTATCATTTCTCAGAGAAGCAACAAAGGCCTTGAATCTCTCAAACCTACTCAATCCATAATGAAAGTCAGTGTCCTTGTCTTGCAAGATAGAATAAAGTATGGATGACTGCTCAAGAATTCTCTGGAAAACATGTACCAAGAAACAAAACAAGAAGCCATTAAGGTAGCCAAGTAAACCAGTAACCATACTTAACGTTTCATCATCCCAATCTATTGGATTATCAGTAAGATTTTCAAATATGTCTATTAGTTTCTCTTAGTTAGAATGCAAGATATTGATGAAATGAGCCCTATAATACCATCTTGTGTCACCAAGACTAGGAAACTCAAGCCTATGCGATGATAGTAAAGCTTTTCTTTTGGGGGGAATTGCTAGTAAAGGTGCAGAAAGCACTAATATTAACAAAGAAAATCTTAACAGGTGAGATGGAGGATGCAGCTCGACATAATACTAGATTTAGTCTATGGGCAGCACAGTGAACAAATTGAGCATAAGGATAATCCTGCTGAACTTGAGCTTGAACACCATTGAGATGACCAGACATAACAGATGCACCATCATAAGTCTGTCCAATAAATTTCTCTTTCACATTATTATATTGACTTAACTTACCCTTAACCACTGATGATATAGCAGTTGCAGTCATATCACAACTAACATCAACAAACCCAAGCTATCTTTTAATGACACTTTCCCCTTTGTCCATTCGCACAATTACACTCAATTGTTCTTTGGTAGAAACATCAGTTGCCTCATCAACCTGTATAGTTAAGAAAGTGCAGCAATATATTTCCTTTAAAATCTCATCCTCTTTTATCTTATCAAGACAATCAATCAAATCATTCTGAATATCAGGAGAGACTCCAGTAAATCGCCCTCCCCCAGCAAGGTGGGTTTCAGCAAGCCTTCCATGTAATCGCCTTTCAAAAACAGAATCCATCTTGGCAAAACTTTCAAGTAGCTCTCTATAATTTCCTCTATTCATGCTGCTACTAGATTTATCATGCCCCCTAAATGCAAGCTCTTGCCTAGATAAGTATAAAACAGCTTCTGTTATGGTTTTCAACATTTCTCTGTTTTGCCTTACCTCCTCGTTATGACGCTGAATCTCTTCACGTTTAGTTTGTGACATGAGACAGTCGATACGAGGCTGAAAACCGTAGGTCTTCCAGGTCTTGTAAGCACCCATATGCGATTTTGCCTTCTCATGCTTCTTACAATCGGATAGGAAATTCTTCATGTTTTTGAATCCCGTCTGCGTCCATGAAGATGACGATCCAGGGCAAAATAAAAGACAAGGCCAACAGAACAATGCATTCTTTTCTAAGCTACTACAAAGCCAATCTTTCTTCGAGTACCAACTTTCCTGAAAGCTTCTATTCCCTGTAGTCGCTTGTAAATTTGGAATTGGCCGCTGCTTTACGAGTATATTTTGCTCGCCTGATTGTCGAACAGAAAATGGTTTCTTTTGTAGTTCACTTATTATATCGATTTCATTAGCCGAAGCCATTGTAATGTAAGTTATCACGATTTCCGAACGTATACTTCGAAAGCTCAAAATCCAAGTCACGCTTTTTGAAAATGAGACCGACTAGATGTTGTTAAACGTTTGGGTGTGTTCACAGCTACTCTCAACCAATCAGATTACAGATATTCCCACTATAGATTTTATTACTTGGTCGGGCTAAATTTTCAGAGCCCGACTAGATGTTGCGAAACAGTGCATTTGAGTTTGCTCAGTTGCTGTCAACCAATCAGATTGCAGATAATCCCACTATAGATTTTACTACTTGGTCGGGCTGAATTTTCAGAGCCCGACTAAACTGCGTACTGCCTGGCACTAGAAATGCACTAGTCATTGTTGCTAAGTAACGTTTAAAAATATGATAATTTTGCTAACAACGACGCAATTTGACAAATATTACACGAATAGACTGTGGATTATTCCAAAAAGAGTCGCAGAATTTAAAACTTTCGCAAATCCAATTTTAAAGAAAACAAATTTGTTGTTTTTGGGAAAATATTTGGTCGGGCTGGGCCCGACCAGCCAGACCGCTAGCTACGCCACTGCGCACAAGACATCAAAACATTACATGTACAATACATCATTAAAAATATTTAAAAGCTTTCTTCATTCTACGTTTGTCCTGATTTGACAAGATTTTTTAGTTGAAACGGAAAAACGCATCACACTAGCTATAAAATAAACAAAAACACGACGCAAATTTTTTCCAGTTACAAAAAAAACGAAAGAGTTAAAAACCAAATAATCTTTAATTAGTAAATATATCTTAGTTTAAGTTTGATCGACTTGGTTTTTGAAGCACATAGAAGAATTTTTACTTTCCACTATTAAGCTGATGACTGTAACTAAGTCTACTTCATCGACTTTAAAACAGTGGGTAGTTTTTTACTTACCAAACAATTCAAATAAGATGTACCCTCTCTAGCTGTGCTCGACCACAGAGAAAATATTCTGCATCAGCTAGCTAATTGCTTATTATGCAACAATACGTACGCAAGTATTAAGTCTTTGATGAACGATTGGCTTATAAATAACTTTTGTATTTAACATTTGCAGGTTTACATTTTGGATCTCACATTTCTTTTCCAATGACGGCAATAAAGCAATTGGTTTTCTGGGAGTAAAGTGCTTATACGAGTTGCAAGACAAAGATGTCATGAGGTCAGCATGTACACAACTAAATAAGAATTATTCTCGAGAAATGAAGATTGAAGACGTTTCTTTTACTCCGGTTGATTCAAAAGCATTTTTCGAATTTCTTTCGGAATGCAAACACATAAATGAAGTTTTGTTCTCTTTGTGTGAGTTTATTGATAATCATATCTGCCTTGCAATGAAAGAGTATTTAACAAACAGGACAGACGACAAATTACTCTCTTTGCAATTTGAATCATGTGATTTTAGTCGTTATTTTTTGAAATATCTCAGCGAAACTTTAAAGTGTGGTAACTTTACATTCACTGCATCTAACAACTCTATTAATCTAGAAAATGAAAGTGCTAAATATCTTAATGAAGCTTTGAAATTTAAGAATTGTAAAATTGCGGATTTATATATTGATGCCAAGGATTTAGATGATGAAGGCGCTAAACATCTTAGTGAAGCTTTGAAAAGTGAGAATTGTATACTTACTGAATTGTCTCTTAATGACAGCAAGATAGGTGATGAAGGCGCTAAATATCTTAGTGAAGCATTAAAAAGTGAGAATTGTATACTTACTGAATTGTCTCTTAATGACAGCAAGATAGGTGATGAAGGCGCTAAATATCTTAGTGAAGCATTAAAAAGTGAGGATTGTAAACTTACTGAATTGTATCTTAATGACAACAAGATAGGTGATGAAGGCGCTAAATATCTTAGTGAAGCATTAAAAAGTGAGAATTGTAAACTTACTAAATTGGATCTTAATGACAACAAGATAGGTGTTAAAGGCGCTAAATATCTTAGTGAAGCTTTGAGAAGTGAGAATTGTAAACTTACTCAACTGCATATTTATAAAAACGATATAGGTGGTGAAGGTGCTAAATATCTTAGTGAAGCATTAAAAAGTGAGAATTGTAAATTTACTAAATTGGATCTTGCAAGTAACCTAATAGGTAATGAACGCGCTAAATATCTTAGTGAAGCATTAAAAAGTGAGAATTGTAAACTTACTGAATTGGATCTTAATGACAACAAGATAGGTGATAAAGGCGCTAAATATCTTAGTGAAGCTTTGAAAAGTGAAAATTGTAAACTTACTCAATTATATCTTAATGACAATAAGATAGGTGATGAAGGCGCTAAATATCTTAGTGAAGCATTAAAAAGTGAGAATTGTAAACTTACTGAATTGGATCTTAATGACAACAAGATAGGTGATGAAGGCGCTAAATATCTTTGTGAAGCTTTGAAAAGTGAGAATTGTAAACTTACTCAGTTGGATATTTTTGAAAACGATATAGGTGTTAAAGGTGCTAAATATCTTAGTGAAGCATTGAAAAGTGAGAATTGTAAGTTTACTAAATTAAATCTTCCAAGCAACCTAATAGGTTATGAACGCGCTAAATATCTTAGTGAAGCATTAAAAAGTGAGAATTGTAAACTTACTAAATTGGATCTTATTAACAACAAGATAGGTGATGAAGGCGCTAAATATCTTAGTGAAGCATTAAAAAGTGAGAATTGTAAACTTACTCGATTGCTTATTTGTGAAAACGATATAGGTGATGAAGGTGGAAAAAATCTTAGTAAAGCATTAAAAAGTGAGAATTGTAAACTTACTGAATTGGATCTTGATAACAATAAGATAGGTGATGAAGGCGCTAAATATCTTAGTGAAGCATTAAAAAGTGAGAATTGTAAACTTACTAAATTGGATCTTAATAAAAACAAGATAGGTGAAGAAGGCGCTAAATATCTTAGTGAAGCATTGAAAAGTGAGAATTGCAAACTTACTCGATTGGTCATTTATGAAAACGCTATAGGTGATGAAGGTGCTAAATATCTTAGTAAAGCATTAAAAAGTGAGAATTGTAAACTTACTCAATTGGATCTTGATAACAATAAGATAGGTGATGAAGGCGCTAAATATCTTAGTGAAGCATTAAAAAGTGAGAATTGTAAACTTACTCGATTGCTTATTTGTGAAAACGATATAGGTGATGAAGGTGGAAAATATCTTAGTAAAGCATTAAAAAGTGAGAATTGTAAACTTACTCTATTGTATCTTGATAGAAACAAGATAGGTGATGAAGGCGCTAAATATCTTAGTGAAGCTTTCAAAAGTGAGAATTGTAAACTTACTCAATTGGATCTTTATTGACAACAATAAAGGTGATGAAGGCGCTAAATTTCTTATTGAAGCTTTGAAAATGAAAATTGTAAACTTACGGAAGTGTACTTTTCTGCTTACAAAATTAGTAATCAAGGCACCAAATATTTTAGTGAAGCCTTAAAATGTGAGAACTGTAAACTTACTGAATACTTAAGATTGAACACTAACAACGTAGTTTGCAAACGGAAAAGCCTAGTACTTAAGCTTGGCCAACCATTGTCTATTAAGAAAAGATTCGTTTGCAGTGGTGTACTGGGCTCTGACTTGCTTCAATTTAAGGCCCTTTAGCTTTTTACTATTAGGGGGGACCATAAAAAGTATACCCAAAATATTTTGTTATAATATATTGTCATAAACAACAATTTCTGCAGAATTTAGCTATCCTAAGCTGTTTTTAACTTTGCAAAATAATTCAGTGTTGTAAAAAGAACAGTTAATCCATTTCCAATGACTTCGACACCTCTCAAAAGTACTTTAAAATGTTAGTTTGTGCAATGCCCGTTTGCCTGCTTTAATTTTTATTTCTCACTAAGGGGGCCTTACAATGGGCTCATATGCTATAGCGCATGCAATTGCTAGTAGAGCAATCCATGCGTGATGCATAACTGTTATCGACATCTACTTTATGAGTAATATAGCCATGATTTTCTTTTGTTGCGCAAATTGTAAGCTTGATAAAATGCAAGTTTGTAGCTATCTTAATTTTTCAGGAATGAACTGGAATAACTTTTCATCAAATTTTACCCAGCTGGTTTTTAGCTATATATTTCTACGTAGTTTTTATAAAAACTTTGCATATTTTCAGCTTTCTTATTCAAGTGAAGTGAACGCATTTTATTTTAAAGTTGGCTCGCGCACGCAGTAGCGAAGAGTTTCATTAAGTTTTCTTGACTAACTAAAATGACTGAAAATGAAAATTTGTTACTTTAAAATTTCCTCTCATGCAAAAGCCTAAGTAAAACTCTGAAAAAGCGTCTCCTGGGAAAAAATTGGCTTTCTTTTGTCACATAAACTCAAAAAAGACAACAAAATAGCCTGTAGGTGCGCAAGCCACATATATTTTACTTCGTATAATTCCACCTCTAGCTTAAAAGATTATAATTTTTTTATTTACTATACAGTAAATGAATAATTTATGTTCATTTTGGAACTTTCATTTCATGGAAACGTACCTTCATTTTAATTCATTTTGTAAAGTAAAAGTATTGTTTAATTTTAAGATAGACAATTTTCATTTGTTTGTTTTGTTACCTTTATAACATTTACTGTAAATAGTAAAAATTGTTACAAACAATGATAGACTGAAATGATGTTGTAAATTTTTAAGTAGCCAATGAAATTTAAATAATAAACATAAACACAAGAATATATTTATAAAAAATCCTTTTCCTGATGACAATTCCGACAACATTCATACGAACGCAAAATTTGAGTGTTTATTTAAGAAAAAGTTGTTTTCTTGTAATTGTATTTTGACTTCATTTAAAAGTCACTGACAACAATTAGCTTTTACAAGCGTCCTCCGATTTTTAAAATTTAGAAACAGAATATTACGTCAGATACTTGCCACAAACTCTATCAGGTATAACAAAGGAGCAAAGTTGAGAAATGAGTTTTTTACTATCTGCTCATAACAAGACTTCATCATTTGCATTTGACTTCAAAAAAAGTATGACCGTATGGGTGTAGAAAGTCGATAATTGAGATACAGTGTAGTGAATATACATTAGGGCCACTCCATTGAATTTTTTCGTGCCACGCATACCTTTTTACCAAATTACCCATGCGATTAACATAGTCAAAGTCAGTCAATTGCTTTTTTTGACCAATAGAAATGATAAAATAGCTAACGGCAGCTAATAATCTAATTAAATAAACAGCAGCCAATTACACACGAAGTGGACCTACTGTATATCTCTATAATGTGATTGAGAGAAGGGCTAATATTCATATATAAATAGTAAAAAGTATTAATTTCCATTGAAGTCGATGGCTCTCTAAGGATTATAACGTGCATATTTGAATATGAGCCCCTCCCACAATTATCAATCTTCCTATACCTATATATGAGCAAAAAATGTCAAATGCTTAAAGAGCCATATAGTATTGAGCCAGCATTTTGTTATAATGCATGCGATATATAAAACTTTTGTAGCTATTTATAAATTTCGTAAAAATCATTGTTATAAAATATATAGTCAACAACAAAATCATAAGCGTATCTTTGCTTTACATAACAATCTATTCTTTAGATTATTCAAATTCCGTAGCACAAAATAATTTGCTTGTTATTAACTCAAAGAATACAGATGATGGCTAAGTTCTAAGAACGTTTTATTTTCAAATCTCTAAGTTTAAGCCTTTAAAAAGTAAACTGTTTTAAAGACAAGATACACTTAACTGTCATTCGCGTTTATGATGCATAAATGTAATCATATATGTAACTTATTCACCATCTAGTAAGTCATTTATACACTTTGAAAAAATTTAAGTGTCGCTCTACAATGCCGTAAAAAATATCTTCTATAAATAACCCGTATGTAATTCTGTTATTGTATATCAATCAAACGCAGTTACAAAGACAAACAACAACAGATTGCTCACCAAAAAAAAATCGCTCTCATCTAAGAAAACAAGGTAATTTTGTGATGATGTGTTGGTTAAGGAAGATAAACTGCTATTTTTGTTTATTAGTCGCTCCGTCCAAAGTCTTATTTCAACATTGTGAGGGTATTAAATGACATATAGCTGACGAAGCAAATTAATTTCGAAGTTGCAATTCTACTTATAGAAGTATAGATATATTGATCAGCAAATTGGCCTTGCTTATACTCGCTCTAAATGTATTTTCCTTGTCGAATTTATGATTCCTGAATTTAGATTTTTGCTAATTATAGTTATATTATAATTGTTTTATGATATTAGGAGTAATAGTATTTTGATTTTAAAGTTTTTATATTGATTTTAATTTGTTGTTAGTGTAATCGAAATGACAAAGATAAAAAAATGTGCTTAAACTCTTTTCATCATGTCATTGACACAGAATAGAATAATATTAAATTATTTTTTTTATTCGAGCTTTGGTTAAATATCGTTTGTCTCACGCTGATGTGCTAATATAAATTGAAATCACTCTTTCTAATCATCTTCATAAAAGGATATTACTTCTATTTTTGATTTTAAAGTATTTATAATGCTTTTGATGTTATATGTTTTATGACATTTTACAGTATTTTCATTTCAAAGTTTTTACAAGGTTTTCTGATGTGTTGTAGGAACAATCAATATGACAGAAAATAACAAAGTAAATATGCACGAACTATGAAGTCATTAACATGGAATAAGAGGACAGTTATTTGTATTCCAGCTTTCAGTATGCAATGTATCTCTCTTGCTGATATGGAAATGTTGAATCAAATTGCTTTTGCTTTGCAATCGACTTTAGCAATACAATTCAAAATATGTGCACTGCAGAAAAGTCAAACATTCATAGAGTCTTAATGTAAGCATACTTTATGATAATTCACTAAAATTTACAATTTTTTGTATCCATTTGCACGAAAAAATTAAAATGAAAAAATACAAAAAAAATTATAAGCTTTATCTTTGCTATACGTTACAGTCTATTCTTAAGATGATTGAATTCCGTGGCACAAACAAAATAATAAGCCTCATTTTAATTAAAAAATACATCAGACATTTAAATTGTCAGACCTTTAAACATAAAAACCTAAAAGCTTAAACAGTGTCAACTACAAAATAGTTTGTCAAACAAAACACAAAAAATTACCACGCCTGTTTATTATGTATATACTTATTGTGTATATAAAATGTAAATTTTCAAACATAGTGCAGCAGATATGTGCAAAATATGTTCGTTTTCAGTTAAAAGCACTAAAACTTGTATGAAGATAGTTCTTGTGGTAATGATCAAAATTTTGATGTAGTACAATCTCAAAATTACGTGCTTAGTGCTTTTTCGAGGATGTTCTTAAAATGGCAGCCACCTTGAACTGAAAGTCAAAATATTGGTCAAAATTATTCTAGGGAGTTTCGGCAAATATCAAAAAAAGCAAATTGTTCTTAAAAAGTATCGCTCAGATTAACCATTGCAATCAAATAATTCTAGTAATCACAAAACAGGTACTGACTAGAATCATTGGACAAAAGTTCATAATATACGACGTTCGGTTTCTGTCTAAAAACTCTTTTCTTACACGCAATTAAAAATTAATTATGAGGTAACTAGAATCAGTTTATTGCGGAGTTATTTCATGTCATAAAGAACATGACTAAATATGACAAAAACGTTTTCCGTATTTCTTATAAAACATTAATCCTTAACATTTGAATCTTGAAAATGTTCTTTGTAACATAACTCTCCAGACCGCGGAGAAATTTGAAAAGTGCGGTGGGGTTGCGGCAAAAGAAGGTTGCAGAATAAGATTGTTGTTCCCAATATAGCAAAGTTGATTTTAAGAATTTTATCAGTAATCATCAAATATACAAAATTTGTTTTATTTCGTTTGTGAAGCTTATTATAATGTGTTCAGATACTGAGTGCCTGGGCATGGTGTTCAGGAACGTGCTCCAATAGGAACACTATATTTTGATGGTGCCCGTGTATGAGTATATCTGAGTGCTCATTCTGAGTATATCTGAGCAACGTATACAGAGAGGCACGTATTCAGCACTTGGTTAAAAACCTGTTTAAAAAGTAAAGCATGAAATTGTTACCGAATGATGGACAAATCCTTATTAAATAATCTGTTGTCGCAATCCTCAAGACACTTGGAAAGAGCTGTACAACTCAAATTGACCTTGTAGCAATCACAACGTCCATGACAAACACTTTTGCCACCACACTTGACCAAATGCTGACATGACTTCATCATTTCTGGTAATGTTGTCCTCAAGGGCCGATATTTGTTTCCATCTAAGATCTATCTTTAGTCTTGCAGACGTAGAAGGAAAGGAATTTGCGCAAGCTCCTGTACCTACGCGTACCAGCCTGTTAGATTGTACAGTTGACATATTGGACCATTGCTGCTCGTGTTGATGGGAAAGCATCAAACTGTTGTCCTTTGCGAGTAAAAACTGCTTAAGGGCTTCATTGACATTTTTTTGTTACGCTCTGTCATACAACAACACAGTATACCACTCCAAAAATGATGTCCACTCATCACAAACTTCCAAAAGTGCATTGCTCATGGCTAGAAAAACAGGAGTAACATTGGGATAAATATTTCAGGTATCCAAGGAGTTTTCTTGCCCTTACCGAAAAACAGGAAACGGTGTCACATCCAGTGAAAGTATGAAAAGCGGGCAAAAGCACCGATATCTTCACTACCGAAAAAATTAGTTATTTCATGAGCTGCTATACAACGTACATAGATGTGTGCAGGTTTCAAGTGCTACCCAGAGTTCAATAACATTAGCTGTCAGCTCTTGTAGTTGATGGCGCAGACATACTGTCAGAGCCTGAACATCTGTATCGTCACTGTGCACTTTGATTTTCCTGAAACAACACTGGATAGCATCTGCCTGGCGCTCTCAATCAATAGAAGTGACACACTGGGCGAGAAATTGAAACTGCTCTTGCTTGCTTTACTCAACATGAAGAAAATCTTTTGGAAGGGGGTTATTCGGTGCAACGTATTGCCTCACTCTTAAACCGCGAAGACTCCTAGTAGTGGCTTTCAGGCTCTTCCTAATTTTCTTCGTTCCACATAATATCGACACGTTTCACATATCAAATCTACGCAGACACATAGAAACAAACGTAGATGTGGCGTAATCTTCCAATGTTACATTAGGCTTGAAAAAGTGGATTACTGAAGCTTCATCCAAAACTCCGTAAGTTCCTCTCTGCAGCTTCAGTCAAGTCGTAATTACGATATTCTCCCAGAAAGAATTAACAATTAGGGCCTCCTTATGTAACTTAGCTTTTTTGCATTAGAAGGGACGTAATTGCCCCCTCCATAATGCGAAAATGCCAGCATTTACATTATTAAGTTTGTTGGTAAAACGTAAACTGTTGCCTGGTGTCACTGTTGTTGTAACATCACGACCCACAGCTGAACACGCATTTCATGAACTAAAATTTGACCGAAATGTGGAGATCTTAGGTTTTTTTGAAGAACAGATCAAATATAATATCGACAAGTTTTGTGTTGATGATAAGAATACCAATGAACTGATTTTGAATTGCATTGATAATTCTAGTAAGCTTCGTAGCCTGTGTTTTATCCCCGTCAACACTTATATCGTCTGTATGAACCTAAAGGAATGCTTTATAAATAATGCTGAGGATATTCCAACGACAATCACTGAATTGTACAACAGAGTCATTAAAATC